CCACCAACAAACTCAGTATTTGGCAAGGTTGGGCGAGGAAATTCCAAATCCCAGTAGGATCGAATGAGCCACATTTCTGCTTTTGCCATACTCTGTGATAATGTAGTGGGTCTCCCTAAATGAAGAAGGAAAATAAGGAAAGAATTAAAGAGAAAAAGAGACAGACAATAAGAAAGAGAGAGGGACAGAGAAGCAAAAGAAAGAAAGAAGAAAACGGTAGAAAGAAGGAAAAGAAAAAGACGGACAAAAGAAATGGCATAGTAATGATCCAGTTATCTCTTATAATGAATGATAGATATGTTTCCAAAGGCATTTCAGTAATTCAATTAATGGTACAACTAGAGACATAGAATATTTGCACACTGAATAAAAAACGTTAATTTTTAGATCTTATCACTCATACATGTGATTATTACTTATGTAAGCAGAACGTTTGAGTGTTTGTGTCTGCTATGTACCTATGAAAGACTTAGAAAAGGACAATGATTTCTGATGTCACCTCCGTTTCTTCATAATAATAGACACTACAATGCAGTCCTCTTGATTTAATCATGAATTAATATGATTTATACAACTGAGAGATTGGCAGATCTGACAATTAACAACGGTCTCAGTTACATCATTGAATAAATCTACTATAATAATGGAAATAGGTTTCTCAGGAGTTCTCAAACTACTTTCTGCAATTTAGCATTCTGAACTTGATCCCTGATTTTTCCAATTGAACTGAAAATTTCTGAAATAGTGGCTGATTTATTGTACCTACTATTAATTTTCTTCACTTTAGTAGTTTTGTGACATCTATTATGTAGAAATAGTTACAAGCTAGCTTGAGGACATTCAGAAATTGTCAAAATAGAGATGTAAACTCACCCACAGTTTTCACTCTTTTTTTTTAAATGAAAAAACATGATTTTAACAAATGATTAATTACATGAATGTCCCAATTACTTAGAGAACATTTTTAGGTCTTTTCAGTGATGATTGGGAACTACCCAATGAAGGGAGGGCAAATCTTTAGCCCAAGGATATTGGTTCTCTGGATTGTAAAGAACATCTTCAGGTTATTTGGAAAATACTTTAATTTTAAATAACAAAACTTATATGCTAAAGGAAGAAATTTGCTCAGTGATACACAGGAAAGATAAGACCCTTCTTATCTGCATGCATTCATTCTCAGAGAAAGGAAAGTGAGTATTCAATAGAAACTTTTGATCACATATAAAACGAAACAGAAAAATAGGTATCTAATTCCACATAAAAGGCCCAAGTATCTTACCCTTTAAGTGTTTAACCTGAAAAGTTATGAATTATAACCCAGAACATTAATGTATCTTATTAAAAAATAGATATGAGAATGAAATTCTCACATCTAATTTCATTATTGCATCTGTAAAGCATAAATCTGTTATTGCCCCTGCATACAGGTTTCATCCAAAATACACAAGAGAGACTTGAGGAAATCAATACAAAAATGGCTTACCTAAAATTTCACTGTAAAACTGACTCCACTTCTTCTCATTAAATGTCTGAAACCAGAAGTCAAAATACAGCAAGTGCAGCATATTTTTCACCCTC